ATCGTTTAAAAAGTAATCAAAATTAGTCAAATATTTGCAAATTTTAGTTTGTAGTTGTTTACCGTTTTTTAAATCATTATGGTCCACCCGGAGCAGTTGGCATCTCTTCTCTTGGGTTAAGGCTTTCGAAATGTTAATAAAATTACCGAATATCCTAAAAGATTTAGCTTTCAATTGTCTACCAATCTATAAAATATTTTTTTCAAAAATCGTGTTAGTTGGCAGCACTGCAATTATAAATATGATCAGGCATTTCCTAATGTATTCTAGTGCCAATAGATATCTTGAATGTTTGATTAACACATTCACGCCGGGGTGACCCACCTGTGGGTCACGCTAGATTGTCTCATCTTTGCAGCGCATCAGAATAAAAACTGGTAACAATAAATTTCATTTTTTAGTTCTTTTCCGGGAATAATAAAAATCCATAACTACCAATTGTTTTTAACGGATGCAATTTTTATATTGAATTGCTTCTTTGCCGAGATAAATTTCCTTTCAGTGAATAGTTATTGTTGAGAATAGATTAACTCCTCCCGAATATTATCTAATATTGAAATAGTTCTTCTGCCAGTATTTTCACTTTTCCCGGCGTGAACGTGTTAATACTCATAACAACATAACTTTACTAGCACTTTTTACGTTATGAGATATTTTTTCTTGAAAATATATAATTGCTTGTCTTGTTCAAACCGGGAGTCTGTAGTATTTCATTTTAATATTTAAAGTGGTAGATAATCTACTAACTTTTTTAAAAAAAATTATTGGATTTATAAATTAAATTTAACGTGATTTTGACGATTACTAAACGCAAATAATTCAGTCATATATAAGCAGAGATCCTAACTTCACAGCTAAAAAATATTTTCGAGTGACAAAAATTTAATTCATTTTTATTTATTTATTATCTCTTTAACTATTCAATCGTTACTATGTCTTGCGTTTGATATTATTCACGTATAAAAATAAAACCAGACTAACTTTCAATAGTAAGCTGAATATACAGGCCATAAAAAGATTGCTGATTTTAATTTCTTTAAATAAAATTTAGAATTACATTATTCAGAACTTTTTGCAATTTTAGTCGTCCGTGAAAAACCCTGCATTTATCTTGTGTCAAGCCTTTTAAAAACTGTGCAAAATTAGCCGAAAATCTGCATATTTCACTCTGTAGTTTAAGAAATATGTATTTTTTTTCTTAACCTGCTAATTCTTAATACTAGTAATTGTGTTCAAAATTTCATCCTTATTAGAGAATTTAGTGAATTTTGTGAGTGGGAATGCAAGTGAAGAGTTTAGTGAATGGAGGGCTGTTCACTTTTTTGTAAATATTTATTCTAGTTGTAACTAAGTTTATCTTTTAATGTATTATTATTATTCCTTTAAACTAATTTTCCTCACCACTACATGCAAATGATTTAAAAATTCTCATGCAACCTCCAGTTTGTTCCAGCTCTTTTGTGGTGAGGCTTTTAATATGTTGACCTAATTACCAAAAAATTCTGTAAGCTATGATTTTTAAATAACTACCGCTACATAAAACATTTGGCAAAAAGCGTAGTAGTTGGCAGGCCTGATAATGATGCTGGCAAGTGACATTTACAGGAGGAATTGATCAAAGAAAATAACGTAAATATAGGTCTACCTACTATACTACGCTTTTTGAAAAATATTTTATAGAATAGTAGACATTTAAAGACCAAAGATTTCAGAGTTTTTGGTAATTTTGCGAACATTTTAACCCGTTTTGTCCCGAATTTATATATTGAAATGATACAAAAAGTGGCTTTATGGAAAAGTGGTACAATATATTATCGAAATTAAATGATTTTTCTACTGTTGGAGCATTCAAAAAGTCTTTGATAGATCAAAAAGTACTTGCTCCTTATAATTCTAGATCTAATCAGAAATAACTAAATCATTGTGGTATCTGAGAATCTTTTAATTCACCCAGACAAATGAAAATACTGAAAAAATTTCCCACTGCAATGAATGTCTTTGAAAAAAGCAACTGTCCTAAATACATACCCTCCAACTGCTACGGAATTTCCGTAGTTTCAGAAATCTTCTTTTCAGACGGTAGCAAAATTAATGTCTTAATATTAAAAAAAAATTAATTTTAGCGTAACTTGTCCACTAATACTTATAAAAGTGCAGGCCATATGTCTAGATTCTTAAGTTCTGATAAAAGTTTTATGAGAGATCCATTTGCTTTAAAAATTTCTACTTTGGTTCGCTACCACTAGAAAAAATTATTTTCAAAATCTTCATAAGTTGGAGGGTATGTAAATATATGACGCTGGGCGTTAACCGGTTAAAAGCCTCACCACTAGAGCCCCTGAATTAGACAGGCCGACTTATCATTTATTGTTGGAGCAAAGAGCTAACATAATTACAGCGAATAAATATTTTCAAGTGGTAGTTTATTAATTGTAATTCTTGGATTAATAAGTTCGATTTAGCAGATTTTACTCCACCACTATTTCTAAACAATGCTCACGTATTCTACACACTATTTCTAAACACTAGTATACTTATATAATTCACCACTTTATAGTACTTATTACATGCTTTACAATCATTTTTAAAAACAAGCAAATATTGTCAACTATATGTAAAATTTAATTTGTAGTTATTTACCGTTATTTAAACTATTTTGGCGTATCCAGAGCAGTTGGCATCTCAGTAATAACATAACTAATACTAACATAACATTAACTTGCGAACTTGTTTGCTCCAATATTGCTTGATAGGTCAGCTCTGATAGTATAGGAGCCTTACTCACCACGAGAGAGCTGGAACGATGAGGCGTTGTATATGAATTTTGAAATAATTTGGTTTCGAAAATAAGTTCAAATGAATAAAAATGAATGAAAACCCAAACTTAGATACCACTAGAATGAATTATTACAAAAGCGTATAAAGTTGTTAGTCCTGCATAAAGTGGTCGCTTTAATGAGGGTACGCTTACTGTAACAGAATTGTTTTTATTTTCTCTTTAAGTTTAACGTAACTAATCCACATTAGTTTAAAGTATGTTTCTATGATTTTTATTTCAAATTAGGTTGTGGTAAATAAAATATGATAACTATGTATTAGCATCGACGTCTGATAAATTTATAATAAAATAGTTCGAAACCATTTTTTTTCTTCTTACCTTGATTATAGGCACGTTTAAAATGTCCCCTACCTGGTCCACCCACCCAGCCCTTAAAATGCATCCCTTATATCGTCAAGTTTAGATTCTCGATTATTATTATTATCAATATTATTTTTTTACTATCAGATGCCCCCTATATGTCTTCTTTTTTTTGTTGTTGATATTATATTCATCAACGCATTTAAATTTTAAAGGATAATATCACTCAATTTTAAAAGAGAAATTAATCGGAAATATGTATACTTTTGTGTTTTAACATCTTATGAATGTTACTAAAACATTAAATAATTGCTACTTTTTAAATCTGGCATATAAGAGCATACCTGCTATTTTCATGCATAAACTCTGCATTTTTGTAAAAACATTTTATATTTTTCATGAATTTTAATTCCTGAGTTCTACAACACTAAGCAAAGGGGAACCGGGATAGCCTGGCTGGTAGGGCGCTGGGCAAATGTCCAAGGGGGTCGTGGGTTCGATCCCCACCTGCCGAATACACCCCGTCCAGTAAATGGTGACTGATTCACGTTAAATCTGTCGAGTCACAAAGTCCTCTTTGTTCCCATAACAAATCAAACCTCTGGGGGTACTGATCCAGGAGTTTCCTTGTCTTCTGGATTGGCTAAAAATTACAAGGCTAAGGCGATGAACATTAGTTGTCGTACACCAAAAATTGGGTCGGCTGCTCAATGACGGTTATAAAATAAAATAAAACGACAAGCAAAATCCTTTAACCTAACTGTTTGCTATATATTGTGCTCTAAACCGTTTTCTGTTTGTTTATTTGTAACGGACTAATTATGAAAGTTTCATTTTTAGAAAACTGATGACAATGCAGATCCCTTTACCAAAGTCATGGAAACTCGCTATCTACATTTTAGGTAAGTTACAATAAACATAGATTTAAAAAAATATTTTTTTTTTATTTAGATTTAAATGTAAAACACCCTTTTACTTAGATTTAATTTTAAAACACGCTTTTGATGCGAAAATTTGTTATCTTGAATTAGGATATACTTTGGACTGATATTAAGTTTAATAAAAACTAAATGAAACGTAAATTAAACTATATGATATCAAAAAATTTGAAAAAATTTTAATAAGATTAAATTGGGGAACAAATTTTCTGTTACATTTTTACTAATACTTGACCTTGCCTAATATGCGTGTGATGATGTCCACGTTTTTCCTATAGTCACTTTTCCATTCATGCAAAATAAGAGTCCGAGAGGTAATTGCATACCTGCCAACTTTTACGCATTTGGCGTAACATTTTATTTCTATAATTAAAGTGGTAGTAAAATGTATGCTTGCTATATATTCTTTGCATTTATAAACTTAATTTATAATCTTTTTGATCCACCACTATTTTTAAAGAAATTAAGCATATATATTAATATGTAATACCATTTCCATTCCATTAATTCGCACAAGTTTGCGCAAAATGCAGCGTTTGTGTCTGCTTAAAATTGCAATTTAATTTCCATATTACTACCACTGGAGAAAATCATCCTCGAATGGATAGAAAGTTGGCAGGTATGCAATTGGTTAAGCTTCATAGTACATAGTATTGAATTTTATATATTTTCTAAAATTATCAAAATAATATGGTTATTAACTACAAAGTTAGAAAAATTTTTAATTTTAGAGATGTGACTTTTGTTGTCTATTCAGGGGTGACACAGGAGTGAAAGATCAACTATAGGATTTGGAATTTCACATGTTAAAACTTAATTGCAATATACGTAGTAAATTATTTTTATCTCAAAATGTAATTCATTTTCAACATATTCTAATTATTTATTTTTTTACAGTACAATTTCAAAGTATCAGCTATGTTATGAGTAGAGTAAGTATCACTTAAATGTTTATTAGATTTTTTTTAGAATGGTTTACTCAGTCATTAAATGTTAAACATTTTACATCACTCAAAACATTTTCTGCTAAGAGATTGCTTACATTAATAATTTCAACCCAACATCTATAGTTTAAGGAGATTGTTCGTTTATCATCGTTATAAGTCGGATATAACGTATAACAAGCTCAAATGGTTACATGAACGCAAGACAGCTAAGTCAAGCAGTGCCATAATCTATATATGACGCAGAAAGTTTAGACAAAAAAAACTTGCCATTTTAATGCACAAGTCAGTCCCTCTTCAAGATGATTGTACGATACTTTGATTCAACCCAAATTGAAGCAGGGTTCAGTAACAAATCTTACTTAAGTTCGATTCATATTATGATGCCTATATCATAATTCTATTTTCAACCAATTTTTGCGAATAAATTATTATTATTATTTTCTTATGAAAGTCGTTGAACAACCGACCCATTTTTAAAGTTTCGGCTTCATATCTTTCATGTTAAAAGTTTTTTAATATCACCATATATTTTAGAATACACATAAAATACTTCTTTATTTAACATTGGCGTCAAACACAGGTTACCACAAAGAATATAGAAAGAAGAAGAACTCTTAAAATACGTAACTTGCATGGTAAACGGGGAATTGATCGGTCCGGTATGCTATACCAGAAAAAAAACTTTCGGGGTGAACAACACAATCTGATTTAACAGAGCATCATATGTACTAAGATCCAGCACATGCGCATTCGAACCAAAGTGACTGTCAGATGGTACGCCACCTGTGAGGCAGTTCATATGAAGTTTTTGAGTCACATGACCCCGAAGTCCATGGCACTACTAGATTTTGCTATCTGGCGTTCATATAACCTTGGTCCAGTTTTCAGTTCGTATTTCAATAATCTCGACGCTATATCCGACTTATAGCGATGACAAAAGAAAAATTTCCTTAAACTATACGGGATGGGCAAAACTATGAAATAAATCTTTATGTAAACAATCTTTTAGCTGAAAATGTTTTGGAAGATTTAACATGACAAAACAGTTGGCACAATTTGAAAGATCTTGAAGCTGTTTGAAATGGCATTCCTGCCAACTTTCACGCATTTGAAGTAAAATTTAAATTCTATATTTAAAGTGGTATCAAAATGTATGCTTTCTACAGATTCTTTGCATTTATAAAATTAATTTATAGTTTATTTGACCACCACTATTTTTAAAAAGTAATGCCTATATAATAATATGTAATACTGACGCATTAATACTTTTAAGTTTTCTAGAAATACAGCGCATGTTTCTGCCGAAAATTGGAATTTAAATTCCAACGTTCTCAACTTACTAATATCAAAGAAAAAAATAGTTAACTTCCTCTCCTAATTTTTGTCGATCCGGATTTAACATGGTAAAATTGACAACATTTCTAAAAGCTGCGATCATGATTTTTCATAGTGTACGAACAGTGTTAACTTATATAAATATTATATAATCTGACTCATATAAGATTTATGTAATCTGATAAGTGTAATAATTGATCTCACATAATGGATAAGCCTGTTCGAGATGGGTGAATTTTACTCGTATACCAGAGATGCCAACTTGCTCCGGACAGCAAATATATATTTTAAAGTGGTAGTTTATCAATTGTGATTCTTGATTTAATAAATTCAATTTTGTAGATTTTTATCCACCACTATTTCTAAATAATTCGTAGGCTTATGTAATTTACCACTTTATGATACTATATCATGCTATACCTTTCAAAAAGCAAGCAAAAATAGTCAAATATTTGCAAAATTTACTTAGTAGCTATTTACCGTTTTTTTAATTATTTTGCCGTGTCCGGAGCAGTTGGCATCTCTGGTATACGCATTCTCAGAGAGGTGAAAATCAGCGTAACAAAGATAAGACTAGTAGCCAAACTAGTGCTTTAGCATTTTTATTTATTTTGCGAACGGGGTAATAATAGTTAGATTTACTTAATTCCATACTATTAAGTTCAAAATAAATTGTTTAGTTACACTTTAAATTTTTATTGACAAGAGAGATTAAAATTAAAGCAAAGGCAAAAATAAGTATGTTAAATTAGCCATCTCCAAGACACCAGTAGATTTATTTTTTCTATTTTGATTCTGTACAAATGCAACTAGGACTCAAACGTCATTCGCAGAGGTTAAAAAATTAGCTTCGCAACTAAAATCAAGATTTATACTTTTATTTTTTCCTCAAAGACTGCAGATGTTGGCAGCAGTGAAAGAGTCTTAGGGACCTCGCTCAATTGCATTAACATTCGTTCTCGATGACGACTAAATTCAGCCTACACACCGCATTTCATAGATATCTACCCAAAACTGTCTTTATATAGGTCTAAACAGAGTTACTTTAACTTTCATCATTGTGTTAAGGTAAATTTCTACATTTCTAAAATGCAAAAAATTTGTGAATTTAGATTATATTAAATTTTCATCTGCTAAAATCATTAAACTGACAAAGAACTAAGATAAACTTAGAGAACTAAGAACTGAGATAATTTTAATTACAGGGTGATGGAGGACAACAAGGACCCTGGCAACCGGGTCCACCTCAAGAAGGTTGGAATTCAGGTGGTTCACACACAAAAGGGAGAGATGTTCCCTTGGGTGGATGGGATGACGAAGTGAATAATCCTTGGGGAGGATATCCTGAAGATACATCAAGATGGAAGCTCGAGGATTCGATTCCGGGAATGCCTGGAAAGAGCTATCCAAACTTAGACAAAATTCCAGAAACCAGTTTTGACTGCCGAAGGCAAAAGAGTCCAGGTTACTACGGTGATGTTGAATCCCAGTGTCAAGTAAGCTGAATGATAAATAGCTGTTATTTTCATCACTGTTAATTTTTATGTTTGTGGAAAAATCTCCGATAATTATCCATTAAAGGTAGACTTAAGAAACCTATTACCCCTGCACCTATATTACTTATCTATATTACGTACCATTATATATTAGGTACCACATTATATTTGTATATATTACCTACCTATTACAGCAGCACATATTATCTATTGACGCAATAACCAATAGTATTTATTACACAATTAAATTTTATTTTGAAGTTATTTTGATGTGAATTGTAAATTTATATATTGAATCACAACTCTTGGTAACCAGTTTGATCACCTTTCAGAATTTCAGAATTATTTGGTATAACATATAAATTATCATTAAAGTATTAAAACTATTTTATTATATATATATATATATNATATATATATATAATGAGAGACATATAAAGTTGCTACAAAATGAGACTATAACGAGACAAGAAAAAATATTTTTGCACTTATTAGTAAAAAGATTTATTTTATTTCAAATTAATGCAGAATAATTCATTGAAAAGAAAGAAGAATTCAAGTTCTCACTTTCCTTCCTATAAGCTTCTATCATTCTAATATTTTTATTTTTCAGGTCTTTCATATATGTCAAGCTGGAGGAAGGCAAAACTCTTTCCTGTGTCCTGTAGGCACGATATTCAACCAGGAAACATTTGTATGCGATTGGTGGTTCAACGTTAATTGCGGTGATACAGCTTCTCACTATGACCGTAACTCAAATCTTCATCGAGGTTCAGACATTGGTATAGATGGGTCAAAAATTATGCGAGTTCCAACTCAAAGTAACAATAAAGGATCTGATCAGTCACCCCCAGTTGGCATCCCAGCTTGGGATCAAGGCAATGAAGGATCCTGGGGAATGAAAGGACAGATGAATCAAAACAGGCCCCAAGATTCGTGGTCAAGCTCTGGAGGGCTACGGAATAACAATAAGGGCACTAGAAGACAAAGTGATGGTGGACGAAACAGGCAAAACAAGGGCACTTCTGGGTTGGGAATGGGCACTGGAATGAGACCGGGCACAGGAATGAATGCGTGGCCTGAAAGAGGTGACGGTCATCAAGGTGGGCAACAAAAAGGTCAAATGATGGGCCCTAACCAAATGGGACGAAGTGGGTGGGGTCAGCAGAGGAATAAGGAAAACGTGCAAAGACCTAGTCAGAAAGGTATGAATCAACTCCAAAATCAAAATTGGGGTTCGAACCAGAAAGGGGAAACTCCCGGTCAAAATCGTAATAACCAAAGAAGAATGGATGCGAATCAAAATATGAAAGGAGATATTCACAGACAGAGAAAACCAGAAACTAGAAACAGAAACGTAGGGGCTGGTCAAATGGGCGCAAGGAATTTAGGAAATCAGAACAGAAGGATGAAAGGATCTTCTGGAAGGGGTGGTATGAGCAAGGGATCGAACATGAATAACTGGAGTATGGGTTTACAGAACATTCAAAATCAAAACACCGAATCTAATAACATGTGGAATAATAACAATAACGCTAATATCCCCCCTCCTTCACTTCAAATGAACAACCAATGGCCAAATAACGCTGATAATTTTGATACCGTGAATCAAAATAACATGCAGTTTAAAGGAGACAATTCGAACTCGAACTGGAATAATAATCAGTTGAACAGCAATTTAGTTGACGGTGGTGGACAGCAGCAACAACATAATTCATTTGAAAACGTTAATAATTTTGGAATGCAAAGCAGTTTCAATTATGATTACAATTACAGTGAAAACAATTGGTCTCATAAAAAGAAAGAGGTGAGCAATTATCAGACGGGCGATAACGATTACGATTATAGTCAATAAAATGAAAACCAAGGTAGGAAGCTAAAGTTGATAATTTCTTTCTATTACTGTGCTTAGGTAATTTTATAAACTTTTCTTTATATTGGAAATGCTCTACAAGCTGTTCGGTGCGAGAAGTCCTGATTTTAAAACTAAATATCTCTGAAACAAAAGAAAGAGAAATGGACGATAAATATTTAATGAATATGTAGGAAGTAGTGTCGGTCGATACCACTTTTTTAATAACTTATCATCACTTACCACTTATCTTTTTTAATATATCATCATGAAATATGTATATTTTATGTTGTACCGTGATATATTTTAAATGAACTAATTTAATACGTTTTTCTGTTGGAAAGTTACTTTTACCAAAATGAAATAGATCAGAGAAGTATATCAGACTAACGATAGTATCATTTTTGAATTTTACCGTAATCGTTAATTGTTTGTGATATTATTGAAGTATTAGACCAGGGGTGGATAAGCTCCTACCTAGTCGAGCCATTTTTCAAAATTTGAAATTTTTTGCGAGCCGCAATTAAATACGCATTTAAAAGGTATGACAAAAAGGTATTAAAAATTTTTGTTTACAGAAATTTTATTTATTGAAAACATAAAAGTAAAAGTACAAAATATGTGTATTGAATTTAAAATTAAACGCATTTATTTTACTTCTCTTGATAATTCTTTAAAATTTAGTGAATAATTGCTGACAGCACTTCTCAGTAATTCTTTGAGATGCTGGTTAGTTAATACTGATAGGTGATTGGATTTCACGAATTTTAAAGTGGACTAAAATGATTCATATAAATACGTTGTTCCGAATATTGAAATAATTCACCAGGCAGCCTTTTTTAATTCAGGATACTTCGATTCTAGTACAAATTTCCAAAATTCTGTAATCGACGTCGACTTATATTTTAATTGTAGAGCTTGATCTTCTTGCATCTCTATTAATTATAATTCTCAAGATGCTTTTTGTGTCATAATTATATTGGAAATGGAAAACTCACCTTGAATTGAACAACGTTGCACTTAGTTCTTCATATTTGTTCTCAGAAATTTAAAAGACATTTTGAATACATACGGAACGAAAATAATTTTTTTTAATATAATAGCACAAAAATGAAAAGGGATCTCGGGTACATTTATCGAGAGCCACAAATAATCCTTCAAAGAGCCGCATGTGGCTCGCGAGCCGCAGATTGGCCACCCCTGTATTAGACATTTATCATTATTAATATTGCTCGTGATATCAAAATTAATCGATAATGCTTCAAAATGTAGCTTCAAGAAAAATCGCTTTGCGGGACGGCTCACAAATTTAAAATTCGTTTACTTTTGATACTTTTTAAGGTCATAACACTTTTGACTGATTAATTTGAAATATTTAGGCAAGTTCTAAAGAAAAATGTAAAAAAAAAAATAAATAGTAGTAAAAGCAATTTCTTTTTTCAAAATCCCAGAGCGTATTTCTCCAGCATTCCAGTTTTCAACAAAATATTATTTCTAGTGGTAGTCAATTGAAGCTATAATCTTAACTATATGAAAATAATGAATGAAAATAATAATTATCCAAAATAACACCAGATACACACATTAATTTAAGTTGTTCAGCTTATTATATAAATATATTACTGATTAAAAATTCTCAAACTAAATACAATTTATAATTATTGTTTATAAGTTTTAATTTTTTGATATGCGCTAATATTCCTCTAACTTTATATTTTATTATAAAAGGCTATTCAGCAAAACTTTGGAATGATAAAAGTATGTATAACATTAAATTAAATTTTAATGTTATTCGTATCATTATTATCATTAATTAAACCTATTAATTAATATTAATATTATTAATATCAACGTATTAATTAATTCGTATCATTTAATTTCTTGCGACCATTTTCACAATGTAAGATTTTTTGGAGATCTATCAACTTCCCTATATTTAAGATGGTAGTTTTCTTAATTGTTGAAAATGGTAGTCAAAATTATATTTAAACATTTTATTCAAACTGGTTTGGATCACTTTTTTTTTATTCAAACTGATAAAATACTTCATAGCATTCGTCATTTTTTCAATTACAAATGCAATCTTCATAGCTAATCTTCATAACTTTGCAACAGATGGCGATTAAGTCTATCCTTAACCAGCGCCCTCTGTGCTAATTCAGAAAATGGTCTAAAAATAAACCACATTTTTGTAAAGAAAAAGCGTTTGTGATATAATTTTTTTAACATTTAAAAACTTACATAAAAGATACAAAATCAAATTAAAATTTTGCAAAAATTGAGAATTATTCATTGATTTTGTATACTTCCATCTAGGTGGGAAAATTGCCAAATTGGCGATTTTAAAAGCATTTCATTATTTTATACAGATAAGTTAATTGCTACATTCTAATAACCCAATATTTCCTTATGGAAAGATGGCATATAAAGTTAAATATTATAGCCTTGTTTCAAGTATAAAGCACTTATAGCGTTACTTTTTTTTACCTAATTCTCGTGCGAAAGAGCTTAAAGAAACATAGTTATTTGATACTTCACTCCAGCTCTTAGTAATATAAAAACAATAAAAAAATGTTATTAATTGATGCTTCGATACCTCTCTAAATACTATAGAACAAAAAGCGTTCAAGAAACCTAGTTATTTGATGTTTCACTACCTCTCTCAATACTATAAAACTTTCAAGAAACATAAATATTTGATACTTTATTACCTCTCCAAATATTATTAAAAGAGAAAACATTAAAAAATATTTTTTTGATACTTCACTACCTCTCTAAATACTATAGAAACGAAAAAAAATATTTATTTGATGCTTCACTACCTCTCTAAATATTATGAAAACACCAAACATTATGAAAACAGAAAAAATTAAAAAAAAAAATATAGTTATTTGATACTTTACTACCTCTCTAAATATAGAAACAAACAAAAAATAGTCATTTGATACCTTACTACCTCTCAGGATACTGTAAACAGTTACCATTTCCGGGTTTGCAGCTCCGCCTTATACACTCCTATAGGGTAATTTGTTGCTTAGGCGTACTTGTTTCCTTTCTTTGTAGAGGTAATGACACGCACCACGCGTTGATGGATTTTTTTTTCTGCTCGCAAAGTTGTTGGTTAAATAGCGAAGGATTTGTATTATAAATTAATACAAATTTCCTACCGTTATGAAATGGGATGAAATTTCCTACCTCTGCTACGAATTACTGGTTCTTCGTATTCTGTAAATGTTTACGAGACAGTAATAATTCAGACATTTTAGCTTAAAACTTACTATAAAATTACTTTAATGTTGTTTGTTTATCTTGATATTGTTTGTTTACTTTTTCAATTATGTTTTACATGTTCCTTGGAAGTATTATAAAACAGTACTCATGTATGTTGTAGAATAAAATATTTTATAACTGTTTACTTGTAAATATTTTATTTCTTAATGTGTCGTAAATGTTTAATTTTTTTTAATGTTTAAACGCTCAAACTAAAAAGAAAATGTTCTAAAATTTCCGTCTTAAAACTAGATCAGGAATGGCGACGATCTATATTCAATTTTTGTCAATTTGTTTTCAGTTTGCCTTTTGCTTTGCAATTCTTTATTTAAATACAGGGTTATTGATAAAACTTTTAATAGGAGATACAGCCTCCACACGGTTATTAATAGGTAGTTCGATCAGACCACTGTGAAGGATATTCTACTAACGAACGAGTCATTTAATCAAGAATATAGTTAAAATAAGAAAGTGGTATCAAATATATGACTAAAAACTTATTTTATTTATGAATATTATTGGTTTGCCTTATTCTCTTGTCAATCACTACAGATTCAATTCTCAAATATATAAGATAAATTTCTCTCAATTACTTTTACAAAAGGTTTTGGGTTCATGCGCACAACTGGTTCACTTTTTAAACAGTCTGCGCGGACTACTTATGAAAGACCGTGTGGAGGCTTCTTGATGTAGGAGGTGATGGTACAGATCAGGGATACAAAATTGCATAACAGCCCATGGTCGGAAACGTCGCGTGAAAGTAGTATGACAGGTACAAGAAAGAAAAAGATGCAAGATATACATTATATCATCTGTGGGTACAATCTTTCTATATTTCTCTCTGCCAATTCGTACATCATATGCATATCTGACAGTTCTGTTTACGTAAAACGTTGTCTACTCCTTAGCGAGAAATAGCAGCTCAAATAACCGTGTCAATGCAGGTCTGTTGCCTTCAATGTTCTTGTGAACAAAACCACCTATCCGAGAACAAAGACGTTTCCGACAATTGCTTGCTGTGCAAATCTCAATCCTTGTGATGCCCCCTACATTATTTTAAAGATTATCCCAATAATCCTAAGAAGAGTCGTGGTGGTACAGGAGATAGATCGTTCGCCCTTTAATGATGTGAGCCGGGTTCGAATCCCAGCAATGGTTGATCAATACGAATTCCGCATCCAACTAATACCGACCACAGTGCTGACGCAAAATATCCACAGTGGTAGACGGATCATGGGTTAGAGTCCCCTTGCAGTCAGACTAACCATAGGAGGTTTTCATAGTTTTCCTCTCCATATAGTGCAAATGGTGGTTATTTCCATCAAAAAAATCCTCCGCGAAGGCAAATTCTCCCAACACTTGATCCAGGAGTTTTCTTGTCTTCTGGATTGGGTTAAAAATTACAAGGCTACGGAGTTGAACATTAGAAGTCCTAAACCCGAAAATTGTGTCGGCTGTTCAACGACGGTTATAAAACATAAAAAATAACCCGAAGACCAATCGAAGGAACAATGAAATTTATACAGTTAAAATTCGACGCATAAATTCTGGACTTTTTCCGCTATAAAATATCGATTTTCGTCTAATAATTATTATTCGGAGAATTTCTTCTCGGCGTTACCATGGTTGAAAACAACTATGCTTTTCAACTATATTTTTATTCTGAAACAATAGAATTACATAAATCAAACTATCATTACCCCTCCCACAAAAAAAATCTTCTAAAGAAATAGCTAGGTTACCAGGCTTATCTTTTATACGCTGATTCTCGCCACCTTGAAGATGGGGTAAACTAACCAGTGAAGGAACACTTAAGCTTCGTTTGCCTTTCAAAAAATCATATTAATTTCAAAATTCGTAATTTTAGTTAAATGACAGTGTCAACATATTTGTTACTAATTGCAAATTATGTAAAAAAAATTGTAGAGAACTTACATAATACTGTTTTAAAGTTTTGAAGGTTCAAATAATAAGTAGTAAGAAGACCAAGAGAAGGAACAGCTCTTACCAGTGAATGAACACCCAGTAATGGAACACTTAATTTTGGTTATTTTTTAATGCTCTTTATGAATTTATAAGCCATACAAATATTTAAAAACAAGCCTATTCTTGAAATTATAACATATAAATACTTGGAAAATGTTAACTTTTTTTTGTAATCATGAATTGAAAATTAAAGTGTCAACATATTAACACATACTGTTCATTCACTGGGAAATCTATGCCCAGTAAAGGAACATGCCTGTTCCCTCACTGGTTAGAAGTTGTTTTTCGTATTTTTAACATACTTTTGATGCGGA